TTATCCCGTAATCGTCTGTTGATGTTGATTACTGTTGACAAGTCTGTTCGTGTCGGTTTCGGTCGTCAGTTTGTTGGTGATGTTGATGAAAACAGCCATGGTAATTTCACCGATGATTTGCAATCATGCTGCAGGATTAATCTGTTTCTCAAAAAAAGCTCAACTTGTATTTTTCTTTCGAGAGGAAAATCTAAGCGATCAGGTCACAGTGCAGAGGTCTTGACTTCTCCTGGGTATAAGGTCCGGAGAAGAAGGAACATTTTTGGTCATGTACCATATTTCACCTGTTGTGTGCTCAGGGGGTCTATTCCTCAATAAAGATTTATATTATATTGTACCTGATATGTACCCAGGCCTATTTCTCAGTAAAAATGTATACCATATTGTTCCTGTTATGTGCCCAGGAGATCTATTTCTCTGTGATGTTTTATACCATATTTATCCTGTTATGTGTCCAGGAGATCTATTTCTCCGTGAGGTTTTATACCATTTATAACCTGTTATGTGACCAGGCGTTCTATTTCTCTGTGAGTTATTATACCATATTTAACCTGTCATGTGCCCAGGAGATCTATTTATCTGTGAGGCTTTATACCATATTTAACCTGCTATGTGCACAGGAGGTCTCACAGGTATAATGTGTAAGGTAGCATATAACCTTAACTCTAGTTAATGGTAAACTGTAATATAGCGTATACCCTTAACTCTTACACAAATCACACACTATGTCTGTGATTTGTGTAAGAGTTAAGGGTAAACTGTAATATAGCGTATACCCTTAACTCTTACACAAATCACAGGTATAATGTGTAAGGTAGCATATAACCTTAACTATAGTTAATGGTAAACTGTAATATAGCATATACCCTTAACTCTTACACAAATCACAGACATAGTGTGTGATTTGTGTAAGAGTTAAGGGTAAACTGTAATATAGCATATACCCTTAACTCTTACACAAATCACACACTATGTCTGTGATTTGTGTAAGAGTTAAGGGTATATGCTATATTACAGTTTACCATTAACTATAGTTAAGGTTATATGCTACCTTACACATTATACCTGTGATTTGTGTAAGAGTTAAGGGTAAACTGTAATATAGCATATACCCTTAACTCTTACACAAATCACACACTATGTCTGTGATTTGTGTAAGAGTTAAGGGTAAACTGTAATATAGCATATACCCTTAACTCTTACACAAATCACACACTATGTCTGTGATTTGTGTAAGAGTTAAGGGTAAACTGTAATATAGCGTATACCCTTAACTCTTACACAAATCACAGGTATAATGTGTAAGGTAGCATATAACCTTAACTATAGTTAATGGTAAACTGTAATATAGCATATACCCTTAACTCTTACACAAATCACACACTATGTCTGTGATTTGTGTAAGAGTTAAGGGTATACGCTATATTACAGTTTACCATTAACTATAGTTAAGGTTATATGCTACCTTACACATTATACCTGTGATTTGTGTAAGAGTTAAGGGTATATGCTATATTACAGTTTACCCTTAACTCTTACACAAATCACACACTATGTCTGTGATTTGTGTAAGAGTTAAGGGTAAACTGTAATATAGCATATACCCTTAACTCTTACACAAATCACACACTATGTCTGTGATTTGTGTAAGAGTTAAGGGTAAACTGTAATATAGCATATACCCTTAACTCTTACACAAATCACAGACATAGTGTGTGATTTGTGTAAGAGTTAAGGGTATACGCTATATTACAGTTTACCCTTAACTCTTACACAAATCACAGGTATAATGTGTAAGGTAGCATATAACCTTAACTATAGTTAATGGTAAACTGTAATATAGCGTATACCCTTAACTCTTACACAAATCACAGACATAGTGTGTGATTTGTGTAAGAGTTAAGGGTAAACTGTAATATAGCATATACCCTTAACTCTTACACAAATCACACACTATGTCTGTGATTTGTGTAAGAGTTAAGGGTAAACTGTAATATAGCATATACCCTTAACTCTTACACAAATCACAGGTATAATGTGTAAGGTAGCATATAACCTTAACTCTAGTTAATGGTAAACTGTAATATAGCATATACCCTTAACTCTTACACAAATCACAGGTATAATGTGTAAGGTAGCATATAACCTTAACTATAGTTAATGGTAAACTGTAATATAGCGTATACCCTTAACTCTTACACAAATCACAGACATAGTGTGTGATTTGTGTAAGAGTTAAGGGTAAACTGTAATATAGCGTATACCCTTAACTCTTACACAAATCACAGGTATAATGTGTAAGGTAGCATATAACCTTAACTATAGTTAATGGTAAACTGTAATATAGCATATACCCTTAACTCTTACACAAATCACACACTATGTCTGTGATTTGTGTAAGAGTTAAGGGTATACGCTATATTACAGTTTACCATTAGCTAGAGTTAAGGTTATATGCTACCTTACACATTATACCTGTGAGACCTCCTGTGCACATAGCAGGTTAAATATGGTATAAATCCTCACAGAGAAATAGAACTCCTGGGCACATAACAGGTTTTATACCATATATAACCTGATATTGTTCCTGTTATGTGCCCAGGCGGTCTATATTTCTCTGTGTGGTTTTATACCATATTTCACCTGTTATGTGCCCAGGAGCTCTATTTCTCTGTGAGGGATTTTACCATATTTTAACCTTTTATGTACCCAGGGGGTCTACTCTTCAATTAACCTTTTCGTTGCCACATGAGTTACATTGTATATATGTGTATAAATTACATTAGTTATCTATTTCTCTGTGAGTTTTTATAACATATTTAACCTGTTATGTGTCCAGGAGATCTATTTCTCCGTGAGGTTTTATACCATAATTAACCTGTTATGTGCCCAGGCGGTCTATATTTCTCTGTGAGGTATATTACCATATTTTAACCTGTTATCTGCCCAGGAGATCTATTTCTGTGTGCGGTTTTATACCATATTTTACCTGTTATGTGCCCAGGAGCTCTATTTCTCTGTGAGGTATTTTACCATATTTTAACCTGTTATGCGCCCAGGAGATCTATTTCTCCGTGAGGTTTTATACCATATTTAACCTGTTATGTGCCCAGGAGGTCTGTTCCTCAATAAGAGATTTATACCATATTTTACTTTTTATGTACCCAGGGGGTCTACTCTTCAATTAACCTTTTCGTTGCCACATGAGTTACATTGTATATATGTGTATAAATTACATTAGTTCAGTAAAATTTAAGATTTTTCAATCATTTTATTCAAATATCAATATCTTTGGTAATATCCATGGGATCTTTATTTTCACTTGCAAATTACCTACTGATTATGCACATATGTTCAAATTTGCTATATTATCTCATTAACCTGTAAAAAATACAGGTGAAAAAGCTAATTAAAGGTAAAAATTTAATGAAAATGTTATCAAATGCATATAAAATGAATGAAAGTGTTTGTTGTTATTCATATTCTACTTACAGCAGTAAACTATGATCTTCCAAGAACAAAATGACACATTTGTTACTAATTATATATCTCAGATAAGTTCAGGTAAGGTAAGAAAATGATCAGGTAAATTAGCACAAATCTTCAACTAAAGTTCTTAGTTTTATACCTGCATAAAACAACTAAAGTGTATCTAAATCCTCCAAATATGCACTTCGTTGATGTACTGGCAACCCCACATTGTCAGGTAAGTTTCAAGTATATTCCTCATAAGGTGAGATACAGGTTAACGAGCACAGGTGAGATACAGGTAAATATTTTCAAAATTCAAAACTAACAAGTTTCTGAAGCTTTTTGTCCTTTTTTTTAGACTTTATCAGTACTCCAATAGTTGGTTAATCTTGGAAGACGGTGTACACCCATCATTATATTCACAGAAATGAAGGCACGTACCTCAGATGCTGACGTCGGAATCCATTTTGGATCCGGGCCTTTTTGGTCTGCATATCTGTTCGTCTCAACCACGGACTTTGATAATCTAATTCCGTGGTCTCAACTGCTACGGTTTCAAAGAAAGTTTGTGGCAAAAAAAGTGTAAAATATTGGAGATGATTTGCATCAGACGCCAATCCGTGATTTACACCAGTAGTTTCAGTGAAATCCGGCAAAACAATATCCGACAAAATACGAGTCCATTCCCGATTCAAATTTCCTAAATATGGGTCGTCGCCATTTTCACTTTCAATTTCCTGATCGTTGCCAGAATCGCCCGTACCGGTACCATCCTCATCATCGTCAGAATCATCAGAAATATTAATGTCAGATTCATTGTAGGCCTGCTCAAGTTCATGTTGTTTTGATATGAATCTTGTGTTTGCCTCGTCGATATCGTGCTCTTCAAAACCATCAATGTCAGTCTCATCCGACGACTCATGTTTCATTGACGAAGTTTGAAAGTTCATCGGAAAAACTGTAAAAACTTCTGTTTTACTCCGAAATTCCTGCAGACTTTTACTAGGTTGTAAAACGGAAATAACAGCCGATCATAGTCACATAAACTCTTGACGATAATGATGCTTATTTCTGCTTGGTTAGGTAGCAATGCAGGGACGCTGTACACGGCCTGTTTCAGCCGGTTTAGCACTATACGATTGCGGCCGATTTTGACCGGTTTAGCAACGAAAGGGTTAAGATGTATACCATATTGTACCTGTTATGTGCCGAAAAGATCAGAAGGATTTTGATCTAATCAGGCAAGCATCCTTGGGTAAATGTCATTCAGTATTGTGTATATTTTTCATGTGGAAGAAACCACCTAGAAATTTCCTGAAATGTTTTAACAGTACTTACAATCATCAGACTCCCTTTATCTGAAAATCAAAAAATGATGGTGAGGATGAAAAATCAGAAATCGTCCTCCATTGACACTTGGCTAGTATATGTAAATCTGGAGTTCAATGTCTGACTGATTAAGTTTTCTGGATTAGAAAAGGTTTGTTAAACAATTCTATAAAAAAGAAAACACATAATATGCTGCATCAATTAAGATATTTTAATTCAAAATATTCTTCTTGAAGGATTTTTGAAGCTGTATCTGAAAAATGATAAATAAAAGGACAATGTTATGTTCACTTTACGACAGAATGGTGGTCATTTTTGTGGGAAGCAAATCTTATATTTCAGCAAAAAACTTGGTTAATCTGTATTAATAAAGAATTGAATTGGTTATATTGAAATGATGTCACATAAAACTTATTTCATCCTTGGTTGTCAACACTTCACATTGTTTTCAAAATAAATCCAATAGAATTACTTCCATGTTTTAATCCAAGATTATGAAAATCACACATCTTTGTCACAGCTTTAGGGTCTCCTTAATGCTTGACCTGTAAGATTAAATATTCCAGAGGTGGCGTGACTAATACATGCTTTCATTAGAAACCAAGAACCATAACTCTCTACAATACTGGTGACGGAGCACCGCTAGAAAATGGTGTTTTAAGAATGTCACAGACTTCCTGTTCATCCTCAATTTCACTTGCATAACCTTCTTTATGTATTTCACCGTTTCTCTTAGCAACAGCATTGTTAAATTTTCCATTTTCATATTTAATTTTGTGGATGGGTGTGGTTGCTTTGGAGGTTTGAGGCGAATATTTTGACAGTAAAGTAGTATGGGTAGCGTTAGACGCACAAGTAAGCTCCGTCATCTCGAGGTGGGGGTTCTTTTTGCCCCGCAACACCCGATACTTGCTGTTGCCGAGTGTCATGGAGGCTAGTACTGTGGATTGTGGGTAGGTGAACGCATTAAAATCCTCCCTCCTAAGGCACCGCTGACAAAACGTCTTCATAAAGGTGCGGCGAAACTTCTGGCCGAACGCACAGTACAGAATGAAATTGATCGCACTGTTAAACGTAACCATGAAATTCCTAAAAGTTGATAAGACTTTCCAGCCGAATAAACTTTGCACGCTTACCATGTCGACTGCGTACGCCACGTTGTAGATGAGAGCGGGGACCTGGCAAATCATGAACACAATCACGACTGATACCAACATGATGGTCACGTTGTTTTCACGGTGTTGCCGCACGTTCATATCAATGCGTTGTTTTTGTGATTGTTTTACGGCCAAGACAAGGAAAGTGTTGATTATAGCGAGGGACAGCAGAGGAATAAAGAACATCACAAATAAATAAAGGCCCAAGAAATACACTCTGTGGTAAATCTTGTTGCCACCGAACTCCGTGCTGTTGTGGATGATAATTGTGGCATTGGTGGCATTGTTCTTGTCGTAGTCGATGCGGTAGTCAAACCAGCGGCTCAGATTGAACAGGAACGAGGTGATAGACACAAATATGATGACCATACGGGCACGCGCAATTGTACACATTTGGGCCGCCTTCAGCGGGTGGCATACAGCAATATACCGCTCCACTGTGAATGACACTGTGAGCCACAGGGTGGCAGTCTGTGCCACTAATGCAAATGGGTAAATGTACACAGCCACATATGCGAAAGCATGGTGCCGAAAAGACTCCGAGAGTTGAGGAATGGTGATGAGAATTAAGGTGCCGATTAGCACCAATCCGTCCCAGATAGCTAGAGCTGTGAGGTAGCAGTTTGTCGACGAATGCATCGTCCGGCGCGTAAGTACTATAACAGTGAGTGTATTACCCACAAGGCCAAGTACAATGATAATGAAAGCCATGATTCCATTCATGTAGCATTCGATGTAAAGTGGATCTAAGGTGTTGGGGTTGGGTATTTCCTGGGGTGGCGTGTCGTACCCACCACTAGTGTCTGTGGCACTGTGGTTAGCGCTGAAATCCATATTCATCACTAATGATATGTTGATATTCAACATTGTCGTGGCAACAGGCATCACTTTAATATCGGTCTCAATTTCTTGCATTGGTGTGATGTGTAATCCGTGTTCAGTCGATCGGTAAGTATCTGGTCATTGCGATTCAAATCGTGAGCCAAGGGAGTTGATTTTCCGGGTGGGCATTCATCAATGAAAGGCGATCGGCTATGGAGAAGCTACAGAAGGTTGATACAATGATCTGTTGATTTGAAGGCAGGCCTGCATGTTTGATCTGAAAGTAAAACAGAGATAAGTCAGTCGTGATGTGGATTGCAGTGGTGTCGATTACCGATATTCAATGTAACAACTAGCAGGCCGTGAGATCAGGAATTTACCGTTCTACACAATCGACTCACCGACTTTCCGATCAAGCCATCGACAGGACACAATACTTAGAAATGAGCCTGATTCCTTATCTCATCCTTCTGGACCCTAAAAAATCTTAATGCATTTTGCATCATAATTGAACATGCTTGGAGACAGAATTGGAGACGATCTAAACAAGAAAAAAACCTGAACGGATAACGCATGGACTTCCAGTCACAAAGGAATCAATTTCACAACCTGTGTCAAATCAAATCTGATCGTGAAAAAAGATAATTTTATTGAATAATTTTTAAAGAAAATGAAATTATTTGACAGCTCTTAACTATCGTGACATCCTAAAACAGTGGAAGATTCCCCAAAGATCCTCTCCTTCACTGATAATTGCTTCAAGTTTTTCATCACTTGTGAGATGCATTTTCCAATATTTCCGATTGTTCAAAGGGGGCGACACCACGTGCATGTATATATTAAGTTAACATTTAGAATGTCTAAAAAAGTACTTCTTACGCCCCCTGTTGAACAATATATAATAGTGTAAATTAGATTAGTTTTGGTAGCTGTTCTCTACAATGAATTTATTAAATTGGAGAGCAAAAAAAAGATGCAATTAATTCATCCAATTTCAAAATTTTAAATTGAGGATAAAAGTTCAAGTCTCCCTCCAAAATTAAGATGAAGGCATGGCAAATATTTATTTGTAACAAAGATTGAGAATTGAACATGAAATATGTTTAGCAATGGTTGTATCTAGATCAACAATATCATTGTAATTAAATGCCCAACACTAGTAGCCCCATGGCAGGTGCTGGAAGATATATGCTGTCAAATATTTCATGGGATAATGGCTACAAAAAAGCTGCATTAGTGTTGTTGTCATTCAGAAAAGCAGGGTTGTGTTTAGAAAAACTACATTTATATGTAATAATATAATTGCCATAAAGTGTTGTATTTAAATGTTTTAATAAACCCGCAGTTCAGAAATCAAAATGCATTATAACAGAACAATGGAACTTGATGTAGACCTAGAAATCTATGTGTGAGTAAAGTTGATGTTCTATGTAAATTTTCTCTTCAGATGGATTTAAAAACTGATACAATCGGCTCAAAAGAATCTTTGCAACATATGAAGATTCAGTAAATTGGTGATATTTCACTGTCATTTGGTAAGAAGTAAAAATCTTTTGATGTTGTCGTGGTAACAGAAATATTGATCTTGGGTGTAATTAATCATTACATGAAAAGGTTAAAGTTTTAACCTGGCTTTTATCTTTACTTTGCTGACAAAGTAACGATATTATAGCAAAAAGACGTTGGGATATTAAAACCCTTGTCGATTTTACTGTGTTGTGTTGGCTGTTGGTGACAGGTGTCCTTGTGATCAAATAAAAAAAAGTCACTGAACTCCACAGAAATGTAGATGTCAATTTCAGCCATTGAAGTACATTTCCAAACTAATTATATAAGCTAAATGTTGTGGTTTTTCTTCAGACACAATTTTCTTACAATTTTCTTTCAATTTCCATGAAAATTGACAATTATTTTTCTTGACATGTAAAATATAGGATTGAGATAAATTATTATAAATGAACTAGTTTAAAGAAATTCTTTCCATCTTGATTTGGAAAGGAGAACCTATTATAGTCTGTATCACAGGTATTGTGAATTTCTTATGAAGTACTGATGATTCAGAGAGGGTCTCATAAATATAAATTCAACAGAAATATTGTCACTTCTGAATGACAAGTATCAAATTACACTTGTTCTCAAATTAACAATGTTTTAAATTTGAACTTTTTGTTTAATTGGATCCTACAAAAAAAAGGCACAAAAAAATTTAAAAAATCCTTTGAATTGAAGTTTTCAAAATAAATCAACTTTAAGTATGCTGTTCATGTGTCAACCTCTTTATGTACTTTAATCTGAATATTTAAAAAAATGTCAAGTTTCAGAGCTGCAACTTGTTTTGAAGTAGATAATCATCATAATTCACAGGATAAAAGCCCCAGAATGGTCACCAGCTAGTCTTTAGACAAAGAGTAGAAAGATTATGGACCTAGAAGGACATGTAGACAAAAAGATCTGCCAATATATTAACAAACTTCCTGTTTTTAAGTAACCTTCTGCCCGTTTTCAATGGGGATAAACCCTCTCCAGATATCTGTATAATTGTACTATTGGCTGTAACTTAAATTTAGAAACCCACCTTTTTAATTATACTAATATCAAAGGGTTTATCTGGGCCCAAATGACTAATCTCAGTCTCGATTTCTGAAAAAGAGTATAATAATAATGAAATATAAAGAAATCCCTTTAATTCTAAATTTGATCTCATTCTGTAGGCCTTTCCCCCCCAGACATGTCAGATCTATACAGACTGTTGACAATAAGAGTGTCGGAGTGGGAGGACTTAATTTGGAGCAGTGCAGAGCTTATTAAATACGGTCTCAAGAGATTTAGAGAAAAAGAATTAGATCCAATCAATCTAGTTGTTTTGAGACATTTGAAGAATGTGATATAAAGAAGTGTTATTGTGACTGAGGCTATTCCATCGCCTTTTCTTTGTTTTACTTGTTCAGTTTATGATGAAAGTATATTGTAACAAGTTGTCTAGTGTTTGCTGAAACATGAATGAATTTCTTTTAAGGAAGTTAAAACATTTAAGGAAAAGAGAAATAGATTGAACAAAAAATAACTAGAACAAAATTGTTGAAAACTAATTAATTGTAGGTTTTCAAAAAAAACAAAAAAAACCCCAACTGACCCCATTTTAAATCTCTAAAAGTTGAATAATAGTGAAAAATTGAAGAGGAATGCAGACTATTTAGTTTTGCAGAGTGAAATCTAATTTTTAGAAAAGTTTGAGATTTTAAGTTCCAGGGCTTCAGTTCTGATTGGTTTTTACTAGAAATTGATTTCATGGCAGTGTCAATTTCTCTTAATTTTCTTGTTTGGCGTCAGTTTCTGTCTATCACTAGAGGGCAGGAAGCTTCTAAATGCAACCAACTTTCTGGCAATATTGATTGTTTGGTAAGTTTGTGTTGGGAGAAAAAGACAAAAGAAAAATATTTTGTCCCAGATATTTACATGATTTGTCAATCGTGTTTTGAAGGATGAAATGTTTTAGTAGTTGATGGTTCTGTACTGTAAATATAGATGTACAATTCTGTTAGCAGTGACCAGGGATTACGTCTGGCTGTTCATGGTTCTGTAAATATAGATGTACGATTCTGTTAGCAGTGACCAGGGATTACGTCTGGCTTTTCCGTGAGAGTGATGCATTGCAATGCATAACAATATGCCAGCATGACATATAGCAATGCAAAATAATCATTTTTCCGAATCTTGTAATATGTTGGATAAATGTAGACCCGCGTCTTTAATCCCCTGTGCACAAAGTATTGCCTGCCACGATTGTCTAGAGGGTGTGCCAGCACTAATACTTGTTATTTTTTGTGGCGGCAATATGTATTGACGACGGATCACAATGACATCGTACCAGAACTAATAAAAAAGAAATCTATCTACACAAATTGTAATGAATCCATATTTGTAAAAAAATAACACCAATCCATTCTTATTGGGATATTGCAGTCTAATTGTCTGCTGCGGGGTATCACTACTCGCCGAGAATATATATATTGACAATTTTCCACAATGACGTGTCGTATGTGAACCACTTCCACATTCCCCCGAGGTTATATATTCATATCTAAATGTTTTCCTTGTATGACCTGTCACTGTTCTCGTGACATTTACGGAACTATGTCATGCAAAAAACGGATTGTTCAGATAGTTTCGTAAAGTATGATTAAAGTTAATGAATGTCTCCTTAAGCCTCCTTATATGGAAGTGTTTTGTAATACTTCGAATAGAAGTGTCACGCTTATATGTATATATATATGTTTGTACAAATACTTCAGATTGTGTGCTGCAGGGAGGCAAGAGGAGAATTGTATTCAATGTTGTTTTATAATACAATAAACATGTGTACATGGTTCATTATACAAACAAATAACAAATATCATACCCTGCAAGCGGTAGAACAAATTTCCCTATCGTGTTGATGTTTATGATTATGTGTTGGAGTGTGGTAATAGGATTAGGCTCATTACGACCTAAATTAGTTAACATTTCCTCATTCAAAAGTCGCTGCACTCGGGGTCAGCTGCTAATGAAATATACATTGTGAAATTATCTGTTTGAGTGCTGTTGCAATTTCAAGTTTCTGAATGCTAATCCTCGTACAGCAGGCTGAGAGTTAATTCAAAATGTATATTAATGAACAAACCTACCAAAGTGCTGAACTGATTGGCAAGTTTTTCTCATTACAAAACCACAATGTACTGGGTAGTCCCCTATCAATACTTATAGTCAATAAAAGTGGGTTTCGTCTGTGAAGTGTATCAACCCAGGGTTTCAGGTTGTTAAAGAATGATTTGTTAACTTCTGGAACATTTTCAATAATTTTGAGCTTTAACATTTAATCTGTTTGTCTCTTAGACATTAAATTTATCTTTGAGTGCCTAAAATTCACAACAATATTCAGATATTAAAACTTTAAAAACTTAAAATTTTGAGTTAATTTAAACAAATCAGATTTATTAATAGAAATTCAAAATTGATGGAAATTACAAAAACTTAAATATTCAAATTCACTGAATCTCTACGTTTAAAGGTTAACTTTTAAAATTTTAACAGCAAGAAAAGCAAAATATTTGAAAATTCAATTTTGCAAAGAAATTTTACTTTTATCTTCTTCTTAAAAATTTGAGTTACAGTTTGTCTATGTAAATTTTTCCTAAACTTGTCCACGATAAATAAAGAGACTTTTACCTGAAAGTAATTTTTGCGGTTGATTTACAAAAAGGGTTGTAATTTATCCAATAGAAGCCAATTTTAAAACCA